GCTTGGCCTGCTGTGTTCATCCAGCTCTACAACTTGTTATCTCAAATTCTCCAGCATCTGCAGTCCCTACTATCTCTGAAACAATTTCAACCCCACTGCAAAGCCTCTTCTAAGGATGCCTACCCTGAAGAAGTTACCCTCCTCCCTCTGGAAAAACCTCAGTGGATCTCTCTCCCACAGCAACTCTCTCGTAATCTCTTCGGTCTTGAAACTGCTTGACCACGTCCTGAAGCAAACCAGGTACTACAGCCACATCACCTTTCTTAGTACCTGCCTATGGAACCAGATCATCCCCAATGGACTACAGTCCACATTCAGGCCTTCCCAATTTGGCCCCAACCGTGACAATGTCTACATTCAGAACATTGAGACCCTTCAGAAGCATTTCTTCCTGTGACTCCTGAAAACATTTTCTGAAGAAGGGTCCAGGCCCGAAACGTCAGCCTTCCTGCTCCTCTGATGCTGCTTGGCTTGCTGTGTTCAGCCAGCTCTGCACCTTGTTATCTCGGATTCTCCAGCATCTGCAGTTCCTACTATCTCTGAAGCACTACAAACTACCTGCTGCACATTATCCTTAGCAATATCATTAAGTATAGCCTTTTATACAATAAAATTTGTGTTACAGAACAGGAACTGATGGTACTAATAAATCAAAATTGTAGGTTGGCAAGCAATTTAATTTTCCTAAGAAATAGCATATTATTTTAATCTCTTCACATTGAGCAAATAAATTAGGCACAACGTTTGGTTAAGGCAATAATTCCTATAGAAAGGTCATACATTTAATCAGCAGAAGGTCAAGTAATGGCAACAGAAATATAAGAAGTAAAATTATTACATACACTTAATCAGCAGAAGGTCAAGTAATGGCAACAGAAATATAAGAAGTAAAATTATTTATGTTGTAAATGTAAGACCTTTGAGCTTCGTTCATTGTGGGGTTTCAATAACCAGGCTATCTCTGTACAACATAATTGAACCACCACTATGACCACAATTTACCCTAGCTGGTTCTTCATTTCCATATTTCTCTTTCAGACAATATTTTTACAAAAGTCAAATAAAAGTAAATTAATGAGGAAATAATTTGCTCTGATGCATTTAAATTATTGGAAGGAAATCAATTTTACATAAAGTACTTACAAAATTATGAAATGCATTTAAAAGGGTGGAGAGAATCTAAGATGCTGGTTGTTGCAGTGCTGTTTACACAAATTTCATTGTAACATTATTTTTTCAGTTCTTCTTTTGTTAAATAGCACTTTGGATTTCATTAAAAGAGTTTTAATTTAAAAAGCAAAAATCTAAAGTGGATTTTTTTAACCTGATTTCCGTAAGAAGTCCTTCAGATCCTCCTTCAAAGATTCAATCCGAACTTCAGATTTGTGAAGGCAAGTCTGCAAAATAGACGTACAGTGTGTGAAAACTTTCCATGTTAGTTATAAAATAACAGAACAAATCAGACAACTCTTCAACTTGTGGCACAGGGTTAAGAAAGTGCAACAGGGTTAAGAATGTGCACCTGCTCCTAACACGCAGTATACTGCATTTATCATTTTGACTCTTCCATTGGTTACAAATGACAATCAGAACATCCAACATGATAAATGCAATGCAGAATTCCAGCTCAACCATTGTGTACAATGAAACAATACTTGGTAAAATATGCTGGAAAATATGCCTTAAAATTTAAAAATTCACCAAACAGACAAAGAATTCTATACCACAAACAAGGAGGTAGTTTGGTCTAGTGCAAAAGACCAATCCACTTAGTCCCATGCTGTTGCCATTATGGCCAGTGACATTTATCCCGATCTAACATCAATCAACTTCTCTTTTTAAATATGCTGCATAAAACATTCTCTCATTTACACCATCTTGAACAGTGTTTGGTTTCAAACAATGATGAGTAATTTTAATATTTGCACATTTTCACAGTTTTTTACTCACATAAAAGAGATATTGGAAATATAAAGAAACAGGTCTGGTGGAGCTACTGGGTCTCATAGCTAACAACGTTTGATTAAATAGTGCCTATAACCTAATAAAACATTCCAAGATACTTCACAAATAAAATTTGACAGTGAGGTATATACAGAGACAGGGAGATTCAGTGAGGGAATTTCAAAGTTTAGGGCCTAGGCAGCTGTCAACTGTGCAGCAATTAAAGTTAATATCCATAATTAATAATATCCATAATATCCATAATAAAAGCAAATCAATTGTGTTATCCAACGCTCACTGAATTTCAAATGTATTTTGTGAATCATCTCAAGATAAGTACAGTCTAGTTCTTCCAACTGGTTGATTGCAGTTGTATCCTCAAGAAAATTCTGATTTTTTTTTTGGATTAATGTTGCATATCCCTTTTTAAAAGATCAAAATCTATAAATCTACGAAATCTATACTATTAAAATTACATGTTTGTGACAGTGACACTTTCTTGTCCATTTTTGCCTGCTGCAGGACAATTGGCTTCTCATTTGTAATGAATTTTAAGACTTGCATTTTAGAAACTGGTGTCTGTCTTAGGGATATCTTGTTGACTCCAGGATGATTCTGGGAAGCATGGGATAGTGAGTTCAGCACGTGACTGGCAGGTGGTGTAAGCCTGGTCACTCATGTCATTATAAAATTATATCAAGCATGCCACTTGTGTAATTCTTTTTCTGTAGTTGCACACGTGCTGTACTTTTTATGAACTGGAGGTCCTTACGGCACACGAACAATGGGTGATTTCATAATAGCCACGTGCAGTCAATCACATCCTTCGCCTGTGAGAAGCCAACTGAAGCCACATGCAAATGCCCACCCATTCTAATTGATCTGGTCACCATAAAAAAGCCAACTTTAATACATATCTATATGCATATTTAGTGGCTGCTAAAAAATATTAAACAGCCCAACAAACAGGACTCTGATTATCACATGACAGTATTTAACAATAATCTTCCAGAAACTTTCTCAGAAGTCAAAGTCAGCCAATCAATACCTCAAGTACCTCCTGACACTGGAATGTTAACTATTATGTTAATTAAAACCCCAGAGATAGAATGTCTCCAAGGAAAACCCCAACATAAAAGTATTGCAAGTTACCCCTATCCTGTAAAATGATGTGTTTATGGCTTTCCACTTTGCCACCTAGATGGGCCACAGACAGTTGTTTATCTGCAATAGATGCCTTTGTCTTGATAGTAACAGTTTCCCCGTTCACAGAAAGTTTGACTCACACAATGCTGAACTCAATTGCTTCAATGATACAATTTCAAAAAAGCAGTTCGTTAGGAGGTCAACACTGCTACACATAACATCCATGGTCATATCAAGACACCTAATTCCAGCCACAAAGGATAAGCTTCCAGCCTGGAAAATGCAGCAAAAAACTTGTAATTTTGCTCTGTGCAGATAATGAAATTTATTTTTTGAAAACAACTAAGCAGAAGTTCGATTTCAGCCGCATTCCTCAGAAGACCTTTGAAAGATTTTCAAAGAGAACAAAGTTTCTAAGAATCCTGAACTGCACCAGCCAGTTCAACCAGTGCCACAAAAGAACTGCAGACTACTTACTCTGTCTTAAAAGTAAGACATTAATAAACTGGTTTCTCAGTTGTTTTGTACCTAAATTGTTGTTAATTGACTAATCTCTTAGTATCTTTCGATTTATATCTCTCCCTTGAGCGTACTCCATCATCAATGATGTTTGATTTGACTGTAATTTTAAATCCACATTCCTGTCCATTCCTCGCACCCTCTTGCTTAGCTAGAATCTATCCACCTCCACCTCAAAAATATTCAACAACTGCTTTCACAACTTTTTCAAAGTGTTTGAAAGCTCAAGCCTCAGAGGAAAGAAAATCACCACACCTCCTTTTTAAGCTCTGACCCCTAGCTCTTGGCATCTATATAAGAGGTAACATCCTTTCCGCATTCAACCTGTCAAAAGCCCTTAGGATATTTTATGTTTCAAACAAGTAACCCGTTCTTCTTCTAAATTCCATGATATACAATCCTAGCCTATCCAATCCTTTCTCATGAAACAACCCACTCATTCCAGCTATGAGCCTGGGAAACCTTACCTGAACTGCTTTCAACATATTTATAACCTTCTGTAAATAAGGTGACCAACACTGTACATGATACTTCAGACGTGATCTTACCATTGCCCGGTAAGTATAATCTCTCTACTTTAGCATTCAATAAATGATAACATTCTATTAGTTTTCCTGATTATCTGCTGTACCTCCATACTAACCTTTTGTGATTCATGCACAAACACACCTGGATCCCTCTGCATCTCAGAACAATTGCTCACCATTAGGATAATATGCTGTTTTCTATTCCTCCTGCCAAAATGGAATTTCACAGGTCTTTGATCAAACAATCCATCTGCATCTTCTGTAGCTTCCTTATATCTGCTACAAAACTTACTCTTCTGCCCACCATTGCGTCATCAGCAAATTTGGCAACCATACCATCATCTAAGTCATTTATAAAAATTGTAAATTATTGAGGTCCAAGCACTGATTCCTGTGGCACATCATTCATTGCATCTTGCCTTTGAAAAGGACACTGTACATCTTGAGCTTTTACTTACCACAATAGCTTTTGATGTGGTACTTTCTCAAAAGCCTTCTGGAAATCTAAGTACAGCACATTCAATAGTTCCCCTTTATTCACAGTACATGTTGTGTCCTCAAGGAATTCTAGTAGACATGATTTGATATGATTTCCCTTTCATAAAACTATGCTGACACTGCCTATTACCTTGAACTTATTACTCTGCTGTAACTTCCATAATAGCTTCAAACATTTTCCTTATGTCAGATGTTAAGCTAATAAGGCTTTAAGTTTCCAGCTTTCTGTTTCCCTACCTTTTTGAATGAAGGAGTTGCATTTCCCGTCTTTCAATCTAATGGGACCTTTTGAAATCAAATTATTTTTAGAAAACTCATTTTAAGGCTTTAGCATGAAATCCATCAGGCAATTGTCAGACTGCAGCTCCAACAATTTATTCATTATGACTTTTCTGGAGATTGCAATTTTCCTGATTCCCTCCCTCCCTTTTACTTCTTGATTTGTAGATGCTTGTGTGTGTCACATGTGTTCCTCTATAGTGACAACCAATGCAAAATAACTATTCAAATCATCATCCTTATTTTTGATCATTAACGGTTGAGTATTGCTGAAAAATAATTTTGTAAAGCTTTTCATCTTGCATTCTTCAGGACAATGTTCAGGAATACTAATTCAAAGGAGAAAACCAACATTTATATTACATGAGGAGAATGCTGGCTCAATGGCAAGTGGACTTAGATTGGTAGAGACATTGCTATTGGGAATGTAAAATTAATGCTAAATGACAATTAATTGAATGGCTTCACTTAAATTTTAAGTCAGACTGGTTGTGGTATATATAAATGATTTAGACTTGAATGTAGGAGGGTTGATTAGGGTTGATCAGTTGGACACTGTGTTGAAAGTTTTGCCACTGCATGCTGGTTGGATAAAGTTAATATCTTGCTTGTTGCGAACAGGTGAAGCAGGACATAAAGCCTACATACCTGGCATCACACTGGCACTAAGATTCATAAAACACATTACACACTTGTGTGACAGACAGAGGTATCTTTTTGGCTTGACAGCTGGATCCTGTTAGTGGCAAACACCATTCATGTTGATTTTGCACAGTAACAACATGAAACAGTTAGTTTTGCCTGTTGCTTGAACTTCTGAGATATCTTACAGTTTCACTCAAAAAGTTCAATGCCATCCAGGACAAAGTAGCTTGTTTGACTGGTACTCTGAAATAGCTACACAGAAGCCGGTACCCTGTCACCAAATCACCCTTTAGTTACATGTGCACAGTACATTGGCTCTGACCAGCCAGCTCAAAGCCAGTCCCTAGACTGAGGAGACATTCTGAATCTCTTGTTTATATCTGTCAGCCAGGGGTCCCTGATTAGCCCAGGTTAACATCCCCAGTCAAGGATCTCATAGTCAATAAGATCTACATGGCCCTGGTTCCATTCATTACATACCCTATCCACCATTTTCAACATTCATTCTATTCACTTCCGACCAAAGCAGCAGCAGTATGCACAAAATGAAGTGCAGCAACTCACCAAAGTCCCTTCAACAGCACCTTGCAAACCTGCAACCTCTAGGATCACCAGGACCCACAAGTTCCACTCCAAGCCACATACCATCCTGCGTAACATCATATCATTGCTCCTTTATTGTCACTGGATCAAAATCTTAGAATTCCCTTTCTAGTAGCATTAGTCATGTAGCAAATCCCCACAGATTGCAGGGTTAAATAAGGCGATGCATACCACATTCTTGAGTGCAACTGCAAATGGGCAATAAATGCTAGCCTAGACTGCAATATCATTAACATATCCCATGAACAATACCTTTTTTTAATTTAAGAAGTGCATTGCTTCGACAATGAAGTAGCTGCAATATGTAAGTGCTTATGGAAATTTCTTGCCTATATTTATTCAGTTCTTCCTGCTGCCACTATGCTGTCTTCTTGTTTTCCCTAGAGTGTTTCTGAATTCCTATCTGTGCTGCAGTATAATACCAAAGTCAATGTTGACACCAACGCCCCTTCTTCAATGGTGCAATATTCTGGCACCAGAAAGTCCAGCATTTGAAAAGGAGTAATTGTCTAGATGAACATGCAAATTTTTCTGAAAATTTGAAATATTAGGTTTCTTTCATGGAGAGGTAAGATTGGTAACAGAACAGAAACAGATAGTGCCACAGAAGCTTAACAAGTCTGGCAGTATCTGTACAGAGGAAAGCAGAGCGAACATTTTGAGTCCAGTGACCATTCGCCTAGAGCTGAAAATAGCTGGGAAAGGATGATGACAAAGTGGGAGAAGTGAATAGAATACATTAAGACATTACATGGAACATGAAATATTCTTTGTTCCCATCCTTCTCAGATCCCTCCCTACTACTCTTCCTCTGGTACATTGACGGTATAATTGGTGCTGTCTTCCCTAACACGTTCAGAATTTTTAAAAATTATAAATTTTGCTTCCAATTTCCACCCTGCTCTAATCTTCACCTAGTCTATCTCTGATTCCTCCCTCCCTTCCTTGACATCTCTCTTTACGTTACTGGGGATAAGCTGGCAACCGATTTCCATTACAAACCTACTGACTCCCACAGTTGCCTTGACTGTACATCCACATACCCTGCTTCCTGTAAGAATGTAATTCCATTCTCCCAGTTTCTCCTTCACCGTTGTATCTGTTCTCAGACTTCGTACGTTCCACAAGACAGCCTCAGAAATGGCCACCTTAATCCTCAACCAAGTATTCCCTGCTACTGTGGCTGACAGTGCTATCAGCCATTTCCAGCCCATTTTCTGAATTTCTGCTCTCACCATTTCCCTTCCCTTCTTCAACAATAACAGGTAACCCAGTTTTCTTTCCACCTCTCTAGCTTCTGTATCGAAAAGATCATAATCTGCCATTTCCACCACCTCCAATGGGATGCCACCACCGGACACATATTCCCTTCCCCTCTCTTGTCAGCATTCCACAGTGACTGTTCTCTGAGACACCTTCGTCCACTCCTCCCTACATCTTCATTGCAGCTTCCCATGCAATCGTAGAAGGTGTAACGCATGCCTGTTTACCTCCTCGAGCCCCACCCCCAGCAACTATCCAAGACACCAAACATATCTTCCAAGTGAAGCAGTGATTGACCTGCACCTCATTCATTCTAGCCTAGTAAATTTGCTGCTCAAAATGTGATCTCCTGTACATTAGCTTTGCCAAACATCTATGCTCTGACCGTAAATGACCATGTGCTTCCAGATGCCTGCCACTTCAACACACCACAGTGTTCCATGCCAACATTTCTATCTCAGGTCTGCTGTGGAGCTCCAGTGCCACCCATATCTATTATGAACCCACTGAGGAACAGCACATCATCCGCCTATGTACCTTATAACCTTCAGGACTCATCATGGAGTTTAACAATTTCACAACATTAACACCCTCCTTTATGTTCATTACCCTTCCCCTACACTGTTTGTTCCTATGGGTTGCTACCAGTACAGTGAAGCAATTTTCAACCACTTACACTTCTCTTTAACACCCTACTTAGCATGCACCTCTCTCTCCCTCAGCTTAACATAGGATCATAGAATCCCTACAGTGAGGATAGAGGCCATTTAGGCCCATCAAGTCTGCACTGATCTTCAAAGGAGCTACATTATTCCCCCACCCTATTGCCTGTAACCCCACATGGGGTTTTTAGCCCATGGCTAACCAACCTAACATGCACATCTCTGAACACTACGAGGCAAATTTAGTAAGGCCAATCCACCTAACCAACACATGATTGGACTGTGAGAAGAAACCTGAGCACCAGAGAAAAGCCACACAGACATGGGCAGAGCATGCAAACTCCACGGTCACCAAAGGTTGGATTCAAAGCCAGGCCCCTAGTGCTGTGAGGCAGCAGTGCTAACCACTGTGCCACTGTGCACCAGCTTCATCATCAGCAATCTTTTTGTTTGCCGATTCTTTTTTTTCTCTCTCTCTCTGGGACCCGCCTCCATGTATTCCTTTAACTTCTCCAACCCAATTTCAGCATAAAGACTTGCCTTTCCCAACGATTTTCATTTCTTTTGGAGGGTCACTGGACGTGAAACATTAACTCTGTTTCTCTCTACAGATGCTGCCAGACCTGCTGAGTTTCTCCAGCACTTTCTGTTTGTTTCAGATTTGCAACATTTGCAGTTCTTTGGTTTTACAGAAAACAAACAAGTAGCAAATATCTCCAAAATCATAATTCAAGTAAAATTTAGTGCAAAACTTGAGAAAATGTAAATAAATTATAAGTATATACACTATCAAGAACAAAGATAATCATATAGTTTTCAGAAACAATCACTAACGGCAATAAGAGATAGCAAGATCTGCACAGCCTGGAGATAACATAGTGTGGAGCTGGAGGAAAACAGCAGGCCAGGCAACATCAGAGGAGCAGGAAAGTTGACGTTTCGGGTCGGGTCTTTTCTTGCTCCTCTAATGCTGACTAACGGCAATAAAGTGCTTTTACTCTTCACATAAACTTCTTGACCTGTATTTCATTCTACAACGCTCCTAAAATATTCAGTTATCAGTCCTGATGTTGCCGCCTACTAAGCCATAACAGACATCAAGACAAAGTGATTTTGCAAATGCCATGTGTCACAAAGACTCAGTTTAAAACAGAAGTCATTCATGTAACCTTTTTTCGTTAAAGCAACAAGTTCACTTTGAAATTAGTCAACTGTGCAATTCAAGAGCAGGTGACACTAACGCACCCCTGAAGCAGGGCTGTCCAAAATATTTTGGTGAACGATGATTTTGGTGGGGCAGCATATATAGAATTTAAATCGTGTGCCATTTGATCTGACAAGAAAATCAGCAGAACTTAGTGATCAGATGTTTGTCCAATAATATTAATAATGTAGCAATAAGGCAGCAGCGTTGTGAACCACCCTTTCCAAACCTGCGGAATCACAACACCCAAACAATAAAACCTAATCAGTAGCATAAATCTGGATGCTAGTTTCCACGATGAAATTGACAAGAATGGAGGCAATCGCTTACGCCCAAAATAAAAGCAATTTAGAAAAAGGGATGGCCAGGGGGGGAAGCTTTGAGATGATTTTCTTAGTAATGAAAACAGTCGCCAAATGTCTTTATCAGAAGCAAACCTGGTGTTTCCTCAAAGCCCGGACCGGTGTCGGGTGAGAAAACCGTGAGTATTTCAGGTTATGTTGGAAATGCACAGCAAGGTGTATTAGGATGTTAGAAAAAAGCGCAATGAGGGTGAAGGTGATCCCCTGTCCTCAGAAGGCACCCAAACCTGAGCCTCTGGGGACAGGAGTGCAGCTTCTTCTCTGCCCGCAATGAATTCTGATCCAGTTCCAAGCCATCAGGTTTAATTTCAGGCCATTTATTTCACTTTCTTTCTCTCTCCTCGTCAGGACAGACGGGAGTGGGGGCTCGGCCTGGGATCAGGCTGTTCAATGTCGCCGCCACTCCCCTCCGGGTCTCTAGCCGGCCCTGGGCTCTCTTCGGGACTCACCCTGGCCTCCCGTTCCAGCTCCGAGTGTAGTTTCGAGCCCCGGAGCCGCTGCACGATGTGAGCGATGGTGACCGAGAGCTGCCGCTGCGCCGAATCCGGCTCCATCTTCCGCCGCCAGCTCCGTTACCGGGCAACCAACCGTCACAGCGCGCGCCGCTGGCCCGCCCGCGCAACCTTCCACAGTGCAGCGCGAGCGCGGGCGACTGCTTCCCCGCAGCGCTGCACCTCGGCAGAGGCAGTGCATACCATACACAGCACTTCTGGAGCACTGCAAATAACTCCTGAAGTCATGCAAACTACCTTAAACACTGGAGCACTGCAAAGTACCTTAATCCCTGCAGGGCTAGAACTTGCCCCACCATTCCCAGCACTGTAAACTGCATACCCACCTACTACTGCAGCACATCCGCCCCCAAGTCCTAGAGCAATGCAACTTAACCTACCAGTCTTCTTCCTCCCAACCCCAAGCAATACAAACCATCATCACAACCTTGCCCCTACTGCTAAAAACCAGAACAGTGATGTTCGTATCCCACAGCCCCACACACCCCTACAGCACTGCAGCCTCTCGACCTTCCACACACACCCCCGTCCCCGCTTAGAAAAGAGCACTGCAACCAACATATCCACCCCATCCCACATAATTGGGCAAACCCCCTGTTTATTCACTTCTGAACCCATCCTCCAGGGCACTCCCAATTTACTGGACACAATAAGGACTGCAGATGCTGGAAGCCAGAGTCCACAGGTGTGAGGCTGGAAAAGCACAGCATCCAAGGAGCAGGAAAGTCAACGTTTCAGGCCGAAACCCTTTGTTGGGACAGGGAAGGGAGCCTAGAAATAAATAGAAGGAAGGGTTGTGGGGCTGGTGGTGAAAGGGTAGGAGAGACGGTGATAGCAGGATGCAGTTAGGAGGTTATTCTGATTGGCCTGTGGGAAGGGTGGAGTGGATAGGTAAGGTTAGGTCAGGTGAGGGAGGTGAGGAAGAGGGAGATGGGGTGGATGTGGGATAAGGCTGGGGGTGAAGGGATTTTGAAATTAGTGAAGTCAATGTTGAGGGCATTGGACTGTAAGCTGCCAAGGTGAAATATCAGGTGTTGTTCCTCCAGTTTACGTTTGGCCTCACTCTTACAGTGGTGGAGGCCAAGGATGGACAAGTCATCAGGGGAGTGGGAGCAGGAATTAAAATGGATGGCAATCGGAAGGTGGGGTTGGTTGATGCATGCAGAGCACATATACTCTGTGAACCAATCCCCGAGTCTGCGTTTAGTCTCCCGAATATAGAGGAGATCACATTGGGAGCAACAAATGCATTAGATCAGGCTGGATGAAGTGCAGGTGAATCTCTGCCGGATCTGGAAGGATTGTTTAGGGCCTTCGACGGAGGTTGAGGGGGGGGTGCTGTTACGGGCAGGTGTTGCACCTCTTACAGTTGCAGGGAAAGGTACCAGGTGTGATGGAGAAATTGGTGGGAAGTGTAGAGCTGATGAGGGAGTCGCGTAATGAATGGTCCCTGCGGAAAGCAGACAGGGGTGAGAAAGGAAATACCTTTATGGTGGTGGGGTCTGATTGTAGGTGGCAGAAATGTCGGAGATGATGCATTGGATTCGGAGATTGGTGGGATGGTACGTGAGGATTAAGGGGACTCTATTGCTGTTGGGAGGAGGGGGTTTGAGGGTGGAGTGCAGGAAATGGAGGAGATGTGGTTGAGGGTATCCTTAATTACAGAGGAGGAGAAATTATGGTCCCTGAAATAGGAGGATATGTGGGATGTCCTGGAGTAGAACACTTCATCCTGGGAGCAGATGCGGCAGAGGCGGAGGAGTTGGGAGTATGGGATAGCATTTTTGCAGACCTCTGCTGCATCTGTTCCCAGCCCATATGTCTCTTGTTAGATCTCAAAGTCTGTGTATTTAGCAGATGGAATTAACTGTGTTGCTCCTCTTGGAATGCTTTTATATATGTAGGTGGTCCTACTAGAGAAGGGGCAAAATTCATCCTACACTTGGGCAGGGCAAGTGAGTGACATGTTAGTGGGGGAGTACTTCGGGACCAGTGACCGTAATTGTATTAGTTTCAGAATAGTTATGGAAAAAGATAGGCCTGGTCCACAAGTTAAAGTTCCAAACTGGGGCAAGCCTAATTCTGATGGTATTAAACAGGAACTGTCAGAAGTTGATTGGGAGGGGCTGTTTGTAGGCAAAGGGACATCTGGCAATTAGGAAGACAATAGGGCCCATTAAAGATCAGCAAATTCATCTCTGTGTGGAGCCATCGGAGATGGATGAGATACAAAACAAACGTTTCTCATCAGTATTTATTGTGGAGAAAGGTATAGAAGCTAGGAACTCAGGGAAATAAATCATGATGTCTTGAAAAGATTCTACATTATGGAGTAGGAGGTGCTGGAGGTCTTAAAACGCATAAAGGTAGATAAATCCCCGGGACCTGATCATGTGTATCCCAGGACATTGTGGGACGCTAGGGAAGAAATTGTGGAGGGCCGAGTGGAACTATTTGAATCATTGACAGCCATGGCTATGGTGCCAAAAGACTGGAGGGTGGCTAATGTTGTACCATTATTTAAGAAAGGCTGCAAAGACAAGCCAGGGAACTACAGTTCAGGGAGCTTAATATCAGTGGTGGAAAAGTTGTTGGAGGTGATTCTGAGAGACAGGATCTACATACATTTGGAAAGGCAAGGACTAATTAAAAGATAGTTAGCATAGTGTTGTGCATGGAAAATCAAGGGGTGCAGATACATATTTCCATGAAAGTGGTATCACAGGTAAACAGGGTGGTGAAGAGGCACCCTTCCCTTCATTGGTCAGAGCATTGAGTACAGGAATTGGGGCGTCATGTTACAGCTGTACAGGACGTTGGTGAGGCTGCATTTGGAGTACTGCATACAAGTCTGGTTGACCTACTATGGGGAAGGATGTTATTAAACTGAAAACGGTGTGAAAAAGATTTACCAGGATGTTACCGAGACCGGAACGTTTAGGTTATAAGGAGAGGTTGTATAGGCTGGGAGTTCTTTCTTCCCTGTAGTGTAGGAGGCTGAGGGTGACCTTAGGGAGGTTTATAAGATTGTGAGGGACATAGATAAGGTGAATAGCCAAGGTCTTTTCCTGAGGATAGAGTCCAAAACTAGAGTGCATAGGTTTAAAGTGAGAGGGGAAAGATTTAAAAGGGACCTGAGGGGTAACTTTTTCAAATGAGTGTGGTGCATACATGGAACATGCTGCCAGAGGCATTGGTATAGGCAGGTACATTAACAACATTTAAAAGATATTTAGACAGGCACATGGATTGGAAAGGTTTAGGTGGATGTGGGCTAAACACAAGCAAATGGGACTAGTTCAATTTAAGAAGCCTGGTCGGCATGGATGAGTTGGCAAGAAGGGCCTGTATCTGTGCTCTATGACTCTTTGACTGTGTGTCTTGAAAATTTGTCCTATTTCTTGGCAGTCGTACTAGGCACAATATTTAAAGTGCAATCTGGCAAGAACATTATAAAAAATTATCATTGTTCTTTCCTTCATATATTCCATCATGATTGCTGCTTATTCGGTTGTTTTGTGTAAATGATCTTCAGATTTATACATAAAAATCAGTTCCATTGTTTTACAATAGTGACCTGTATTTAACACATTTAATATAATCAAAAGCCCAAGGGTCTTCGCCAAAATATTATAAAACAAGATATGACATTGAGCTACATTAGGAAATATTGGTACAAACTACCAAAAGCTTGGACAAAGAGGTAGATTTTCAGGAGTGTCTTAAAGGAGGAAGGCAAGGTAGAGAGGGCAGAGAGATAAGGGAGAAAATTCCAAAGTTTAAAGCACACACAGCTGAATACAGGGCCTACAGTGGAGAAGTAATTAAAATCAGAAATATTCAAAAGATCAGAATTAAGGGAGCACAGATATTTTCCATAGTTCTGGAGCTGGAGGAAATTATAGAGATAAGAAGGGACAAGGAGGAATTTGAAAATAAGGGAGAATTTTAAAACCAAGTTGCTGCTTATCCAGGCACCAGGTAGGTCAGCATGCACAAGAGTGATCAACAACCTCAAGTGTATGGAGGGTAGAACCTGAGAGGCTATCCAAGAGCATTTTAGAATGATCAAGTCCAGAGAAAACAACATTGTGAAATTTTCACCAGCAGATGAGCTGAGTCAGGAGTACAGGGTTTTTTTTACAATTCTTTTAATGGGATGTAGGTATTGCTTTTTAGCCAACATTTGTTGCATAACCCTAATTGGTCTTGAAGAGGTTATCATAGATCACAGAATCCCTACGTGAGCCATGTTCTTCAATTGTTGCAATCCCTCTAGTGCAGGGGTAATATTTTTAGAAAAGTAAGTCAAAGATTTTGATCCCATGACAGGGAATGCACTTGATAATTAAGTCAATTTTTGCACCAAAATGGAAATCAAAACATAATTCAAATAACTTGAATTGAGCAAGTATAAGCAAATAGTATGTATTGTTCAGAGATAACAAGGTGTAGAGCTGGATGAACACAGCAGGCCAAGCAGCATCAGAGGAGCAGGAAAACTGATGTTTCAGGCCTAGACCCTGCTTCAGAAAATCAGAAAATTCAGAAAATATTGTTCACCCTAGTTACCCAATTGCAGTGTAAATTTACTTTCTAATTATGTGCAATACAAAGAAGTGATCCCTTTGTAAGAAAGTTATTAGCCTATAAATTTGTCTAATTAGCCTTAAAAAAATTATACAGAGACATAGAAATGAAGAGAAGTAGACCATTGGACCCCTTGAGCATTGTGCACCATTCAGTATGATCATGGCTGATCATCCAACTCAGTACCCTGTTCCCACTTTTCATGCCCTCTCCTCTTTGGTCCCATTAGACCTAAAAACTGTATCTATTGTCAGCAGCCATTGAAAACATGAAAACAATGATATCAACAGTAAATGTGCTATGAAATCTGCCACAATGCATTGGCACCATCAGGCAGAGCTCCTCGACAAGGTCAACATGCATGCTCATCTCAGGTATATAGTCAGTGGATGTTTAGAACCTTTCCAAATCCTATGCTGTTGCCACTACGAATGGATGCTAATGGCAATCAACCGCAGAGGACA